GCAAAGAGCAGGATGGATAAAAAAAATCACAAAGGGAAGTCACATAAGACATTGGAAAGACCACTTGTTCCCTTCAAAAAATAAAAACCAAATCTCCCTGGGATTAAAGTAGAACAGACACAATAATCAAAATAGACTAAAATCTTTTAAAATCTTGGTCATATAGCAGCAGCCAGATAACCACCAGCCAGACTGCAGCTCTCCTCTTTTCATGCAGGAATGTATTTAAAAAATGGACTTTCTTCATCGTTTCCTATATTTGGATTTATCTATAAAAAAGACTTTTATAACATTTGTCTGCAAAGAATAAAGCGAGAAAGGATGATTCACAAAACACACTCTTGTGAACAACTGTAATGTTGCTCCTCTGTTCTTTAACACAGGTTTTGGTGCAGGTTTGGTGCAGGTTTTTTTAATTCAGCTAAAAAACACGCTCAAGGTGCCATCTTCAGACTCACCCTGCTCTTTACATTAAAAGCTCTCTGTCCTGCGCTTGTTGCCAATGGTTGTCGCATGCACTCAGGAATTGGCTATGGGTCTCCAGATGTCAGACCTGTAGAGCTACAGTAGCACTTGAGCTGGGTGCTTCACACAGGTGTTTTGAAGGACGCCCTGACTGAGCTGAGTGCATCAGTGCACATAAACATTCCACATCTTCAACCAGGTTTACTCACCAGGCTTTAATTTCTTTACATCCAAGCTGTGCTGTCACTAGGAACTGCATTAATCTTTTGGGGTTAGTGTCTCTGGGCATTAGACTTTGCAGACCTGGTTCCAGAGGTGTTGCTTGCTTGACCTCTCTCTAGTGTCCAGAAGCATCCATCCGGACCAGGTCTTTGAGGGTTGTGGGTTGCATGTGCTGTTTCTCACTCAGATCCTATGCCCTCCACAGCACAGGAGAGAAGAGTGCTTTTTTCTTTATTATAGTGGTAGACAATTTCACAGGGATTTCAATTATGTCGAATGATCTCACAGTTAATTGAAAAGAAGGCAGTAGTTAGTGACTGTTAACCTGGGCTATCAAGCCATTCATCCATCCATTTTATAAACGCTATATCCAATTTATGGTCACGGGGGTCATCGCCTTTTCCTGGCAAGCAAGGGGCACAAAGCAAAGGCACATACAGCCTGGATGGGTTACCAGTCCATTACAGGGCACGCAAAGACACAAACACACACTCACCAAGGCCAATTGACCTACCAGTACAGTACTCTTATGAACTGTGGAAGGAAACCAGACCACATGAAGGAAACCCATGCAAACACAGCAAGCAGCCCAGAGCAATGCTGCCACACCTTATTTATACTAAAAATAAAACTAAGTTTTTAGTATCCTCCTTTCAGATTTTTGTTTGTGTATAATGTAAGTACCGTTTTCTGCAGGAAATAATGCCTAAGGCATGGACAACAACAACATAGTAGAGATAAATGTGATAAATACTATAGTGGTACTCAGAAAAAGCAAGATAGCACAATATATATGAATGAAGTGCAGAATAACAGACGGAGTCTTGTAAGGAGGCACACACATCATTGCTTTACTGGCACACTGTTTCTGCTTTCATAGACCATATAAGATCACTTTATTGGCCATATTCAATTTCTTGCATTAGGAATTTGTCTTTTTGCATACCCCAGCTTGCTCTCCATGAGACACACAGGCAGGGAGAGAGAAGCTTGGGGTCAGAGCGCAGGGTCAGGATGGATGGAATGGAGTAGGATTCCTCTGCTGGCTGCGGGATAAGAACCGGTATAAGATCTAAGATCCTTAGCCACAGAGCCACCGTTCTGCCCACATTTGGGCCCAACGCTCCAGGACCATCCATTTTCAGGGCTAGTCGATTCGGCCCAAAAAGTTGTACTTTACAGTTATACACAAAATTGTAAGAAGAGGAGTCAGTATCATTTCGTGCTCTCATAACTGATTCCTCAAGATGTCATTTAAGCGCACCCATTCCATCAAAGATTTCCAGTCTTTGGTGGTTAATCATTAATGACAATGTTGTTGAGAAAACAACGACCCTTGATTTTGGTTAGATAGGCTTAGGGAGAAAAAGCTTTTCTCCCTATGTTTTAGAACATAGGGAGAAAATATTTGAAAGCCTTTATTGCCACGTCGAATAGTTTTAAGATCTTATCAGTAAAAAGGTCTGGTTAAGTGCTGTGACCTCAGTCTGAAAGGTACAGTATATATGACTACATGGCGAGTTGTCGTTTGAACGGACTGCAGATTTGTAGTCTTTCTCCCCATGATTCTGTAGCAGAAAAGTTCTTCAATCACAGTATGTGACCTTCTGTAAAACCAATTTATTTGCATTGCGTCGTGATCAATTTGAAAGAAATTATAGATTAATAGCAGATATAACAACAGAGCCACCACTGGAACTCAAAGAGGCCTATTCTCCTCTACCTCTACCTTTAACCTTTCACAGGTGAGCTTCGGAGGAAAACTCATAGTTCGTGTTCATCCCCAGAGTGCATTTCCACAATTAGCTTTCGCGTGCCTGATTAGAGGCTAATTATCCTGAAAAACAAAATCAAGCACAGAGAAAAACAAATTCCAGGACATGAAATAAGATGATGAACAAAAGACAGAAGAGCAAAGTAAGTTCTTTTAAAGGAACCAACTTTAAAAAACACAGGAAGATCAAACATTTGGATAAAGAGCTATTAAATGCCTGCATAGTAATATGATGTCGGAGCTTCTTTTAAAACACCTCAAGGGGGGGTTAGGGTTCACATTTTGGGTAGGGCATTGTTGTTGTGCCCTCGAGCAAAGTACTTCTCTCGGAGTGCTCTAGGAAAAAGCCCTGCTGTGGAAATTGTTTCATACGCAAGTCCCTTTGGATAAAAGTGTCAGCCAAATAAATGAGTAGCAATTATTAATAAAAGCTGTGAGATTCCATTAGCTCTTCTAATGTGGGCTTGTAAGTAGCAAACCTGGGTGGTCCTTCCATGGTGGGTAATACCGCAGCTGTGTATCCCACATTAAACGAATACCCCAGTGATTTGCAATTTCCTGCTGTTTCACCATGTACGTTTTTGCATACGCAGGTAAATTGGGAGGAACAGACTAACCTGCAGTTCAGTCTGAACCCTCATGGTGCTGGGCTAGCCATTCCAATGACACTCCTCTGAATAATTACATAATTCACTCTTCACTTACTGCCCAAAGTGGGCAGTATGATTAATTATGACCTTGTTACTGTGAAGGAACACCTTCTAGCTAGAGGCAAACAGGAACTCCAAGCCTCAGATACTGTACAACATTGTTCTATATTCTGTGCCATCACCTTCAATACCTGACGCTTAGAAAATTTTGGGAAAAAAGCTTTTATTTTTTTAATCTAAAGAATAAAACAAGCATACGTTTCGAAAGGGCTTGTATGCAAAATGCAACATCCTGATTTTAGAAGAGTAAAATACCTTCGGAAAATACCAACATTTTTGTAAACGAGAGATGTGGGCTGCTGGTATGAGAGCAATAATATCTGCGAATCGATACAAAAAAGACACAACTGCTAAAATCAGCTTTTAAAATCGTCCAAGGCATTTTGTATTTCTGTAAAAGTAATGGGTGTTGGCTAAACTGGCCTGACCTGAAATATATATATATATTTGAAAAGAAAATATGCATTCTATGACTCATGTGCAATTTTACCAAACTATAGGTTTTAATATACTGAGACAATAAAACAATAAAAAGGAGATCTCAGAAAGGCACAGTCATTTATCAGGTACAGATTATTGAGAAATCTCTTCTTAATGCAGTTTGCCTGGCTTTGAAAAGAGTTTATTCAGTCTTTGCTTACAGAGGTGTGGTAGAAAGGCTTGGTTTGCTTCTTGGCAGACATTCTATCAGTATGAAACCACCTGCAGACCAGCCAACACTACTAGTTTTTATTCAAAGACACTAATTGTGGAACCCATAAACGAAAGGGTACATACTTGGAACAGTAGTACATGGCAGTACTACACATCATCCAGGTGGGGCTGCACATTGGTGGTGGTGAAGGGGAGTCCCTATTACCTGTAAAGCGCTTTGAGTGGAGTGTCCAGAAAAGCGCTATATAAGTGTAAGCTATTATTATTATTATTATTATTATTACACAGTATTGATGGAAACATGCAACTCATGTTTGTCTCTAACTGGCTCGAACAGTGGACTCCGAAGGACTTTTCCTAACACACTCCTCCTAAAAACTGAATAGCGTTTCATGATTGAGTGTATTGTGGTTTGCCACCATGGTCTACTTTTATGAGCATCTGCACATCTTTCAGGTGAACAGCATTTGAATCTCAACTATGTCAGACCCAGAACGTAACAAACGGACAATGTAGCCTTCTTTCTTGGCACATACACCAAAGTGGTTATACCAAAACAAGACGGTGGTATGGATGAGATTTGATATTGTCGAAAAGGAAATCAGTCACAGAGTTAGAATGCATCTGCATTTTACTATACGTCATTGCATCACAATTCGGTAAGCTTTTATAGGGAAGCTTGAAATATAAACCCATGACTATTTCTGGTTTACAGTTAGGTCAATCATAATAAAAACATTTTAAAAAATCACATCAGCATCCGAGCCGATACATACTTTTACTGCATTAGAATGGACAGTAGCCTGTGTTTTAAAGCAAATAACCAACATGGAGCATGTCTTGGTATATAAGCTTGGCACATAGGTTAATAGCTTTTGAGAGAATCATGTTTAGAATCCATTGCAGTGGAGTTGTGTAGGACTTGTGGAGTTGTGTATGTTTACTTTTATGCACAGTTTTCCATACAAGGAGAGAAAAAAGTCTAGAGTATGATGTCAGGAGGTATGAAGCTCCGCCCTGAAATAAAAGCTTACTAATTTTGCAATCTTTTTAAAAGCTGAGTGATATTTGGCATATAAGTAATGCTTCAGAAAGATTTAGATACAATTTGTAAAACCTTATTTGATGAAAAACATTTCATAACAAAAGAGTATTTTAGTTATATTTTAATAATATACAGTTTATAAACAGAAGACACAGTTCAAGTGAATACATTATATATATGTACATTTGTAATGTGTGCAACACTCAATGATTTTTTTTTAATCATCTCATTCATTCAACAATGAATCATAATAAAATGGGTAGCAGCCACTGTGTCCAATTCGACTCAAGAAGGAATGATTGAGAGGCACTTTCCTTTAACACTGTACTGCCCAAATAAACAAAAAGAACAAAAATACTCAGTATTTAATTAACTGCATAATTGTAATACTTCTAACAAGACCTATGAAACAAGGTGTTTGTGATTAGTTGTAGTCAGGTGACATCGCTTTAAATTGGACTTTTTTGTTTCCCATTTAAAAACACAAAAATAAAAATTAAGAAACAAGGTGAGGTACTTTTCACTTCATAATACAGCTATTGAGTGGTTTGGCTTAATCGTTCGAATAGTTTACAAACTATTTGATGTCAGTTGCCATTTCCAGGGGCTGTTTATCTTGAATAGCAATTCTGTTAAATACCAATATATTTGCACCTATTCATGCATTTTTCTCTTCAATTGTTAAAGAAGACATCTTGCAAGTCGTTTCAACAGAAATGGGAAGGTATGCATTTCACTCATAACCATGATAAATGAATGACATAATTATGTTTAATAATGACTTTAAATTGGGGCCTAGTGAAGGTGCAGTGAGAGATAACTGAATCTGAAAAGAAGGTATGTCATTATAAAATAAGCACCAAAAATATAGAACATATTTGTAGGTCAACATACCTTCAATGAAGTAAATATGTACTGTAAGTAAAAGCAATCAAATGTAGAATGCTTTAAGAAAATCTTATGTACATCTAATAAAATGTACATAAGACTAAGCATGTTGGAACAAAAACCTAAAGACACTAGGCCTTGAGAACAAGGCCCGCCCCTGCTTTAAAACCAAAGGACCCCAGACTGCCGTGCGGGTGTGAATAACGTCCCCTCACATCATGCAGTGGCTGCTGTCTCTCGTGCCTTTGTAAGAAAGTCGTAGGCTACCTCAGAGACATCGAATGCCTCCTGTGCGGCCTCCTCAGAGAGCAGAGAGGAGAGAGCGCTCTCCTTCTGCTTGTTTACTGCCAGGATGCCCGCGATGATCCTCCATCGCAAGCTCTCGGTCTCCTGGTCAGCCCACTGGCAGGGCGGCAGAGCTAGGGAGTGCAGGAGGGGGTAGACAGTGTCCATGTACAACTGAACAAACAGAGTCTTCATGAACTCACCGTCCCTCTGTGTTAGAGCAGAAACTGGTTACTGAACAATACATTCTGAGCCCTTTACTACAAAGCTATTGTCATTATTTCTTCTGTGATATAAACTCCATTAATCTCTAAAAAGGCAATCTTATTACACCCCCAAAAGTTCTATATGCATTATAGTGTTCAAATGAGACACGGATTCTGATGCTGCAGCCTGTTCTACACTGCAATTCCCAGCAGTCTTTAACCACAGCATTGGCATTTTTTTTCCACTCTGTATGGTGGAATAGTTTGCAATATCAACATCACTGTATTTAGCCCTGACTTAAAATTGGATTAGGAAACCGAGAAGAAAAAATCCACACCTTTTCCGATCTCTTTAAAGAGCCTTCCTTTTCTGCCCACACACTCTGCAAAGATAAACATGTGGAAGATCTGAGCATACTAGAATTTATGTGGTACAGAATATTTTAAAACTGGTGCCCTCAATCTGTCTTGAAGAGGCATTTGTTATTTCTGTTTGATGTTCTGAATGACTTCTTGTTGCTGCTTAAGTCATGTTAAAGCTATCAGGAAAGAAACAATTTTTTTTATCTCAATGATGAATAACGAGAGATAGGGAAGTCGACTGCTTCCTTCTAGGGATTCTAAATATAAAACAAATGTCTTTTGCTCTCCCTATACTTATCATGTCTATAGACTTTAAAGAAGTCGTTTTAGAAGCTGTATTGTTGTTCAAGTGAGGTAATCGGAATGTTTCAGCAGAAAAGGCAGCCCAGAACCACCCATAGCACATCACAGAACAGGCTGCAGGACTGAGACAAAATAAGAGAAATTATAATTGCTTTACATTATTACTTTTCCACATGAACAGTTAAAAGGACTTTTTTATTATATTAATTCTAAAGGTCTGGTGGATCATTTTGGTCAGTGAATCATGAATCTGTCTGCATTGAATTAATCACATTTCAAAAACACTTTATTACACATGAATTAATTGGGTTGGTATACACACGTTCAGACAATCAGTGCGAAACTCTTGCTTATCAAACACACATATCAACAAGATACAAAACTGAATTAAAAAAAATAAAATTCATTACATTATGCATTGAATAAACCTAGATGGATTCCTGAGCTTACAGAACCTAAAATCAATCATTTTGAAATTAGGTTTTAATTAATTTTTCATGTACAGATACTTTAGTATCCAACTGTGATTGGATGAGATCAACATAGAAAAGGCTCTGTCTGCAGATTTCTTTTACTAAACATCCAGTTTTTCTTGTTTTTATCGTACACTATTGTGCTAGGATTTAACCCAACTCCGTCCACACCTTTAGATGTGTTCTAACATGAAGTTCAACCTGTAATGTTTTTCAAAACAAAGACTGCTCTCTGTGGAAAGTATGTACACCTCAAATATTTGTCACTGACACAAAAAATTACACAAATACAAAATTCAGTGAATAAGATTTATCTGGATTAAGATTTTGTAGAAAAGCTGCAAATTCAGCAGTATAATAAAGCATTTAAGGTCTATCAAAATGGCAATGAATGTTCAAGAATGAATATAAATGTGAAATTAAACATTTCTGAATATCAATATAAATTCTTTCATAAGTAAATTTCACAGTGGTCTATAAACCAAAGTATAAATACTTACTCTGAGAGCATCCAGAAGATCTGTCTGATCCAATACTTGTGCAAAAGTTGCCAATACAGGACTGCAGATGAGGTCTATTAAAATATATACACTCAGAAATCTTCACCTGCAATTCTGTACAATATCCACTTTTTATTAGAGTTTTTAAATAACGTACTGCACCCAGTCATGTTGGGGCCACAGGTATTCTGTTAATTGGCCTGAAAATTACATAATTTACTCAGTTAACTACCTAGGCTTGCACTGCTTGACCCACTGGAATTGCCATCTGGCACTGCATGTAACTAGGTAGGCGTGTAGAAATATTACCTGCAGGTGCAAATGTCATTTGGTCCAAACCAAACAGTAAGTTAAAAAAAGTGTCCCAAATCATTTCTAATGAGCATGGCATTCCTCAGAAGCTTAATGGTTTCTTGGGGAAGCTGATGTACTGACAAAGACATTCCTCTAAGAAAAATCTTCAAACCCATATCACAAAAAGCGTGGTAACTTTTTGTCATATATGACTAATCCATTGGCTCCTTTTGTGAGATTGCTAGAGATGTTCAATCACAGAATAATGCAAACTGATTTCTTTCCTTAAAAGGTTGCCCTCCATAACACCTATCCCAGATTACAACTGAGGTCAGCAAGATTTCAGTAAACAGATGACCCTGTGCACTACTAACATCACTGCACAATCCAACAAGACAGCATGCAGCAACCTGAGAAAACAATATGACAGCATCTACAAGCACCTACATACCAGCATTCTGCATTGTCAATCTGTCTCTCAGAAGTGCATCTGCTAGAATATGTCTATATAAAGCCAGGAGGTGAATGCTGCATGTACTTCCTACCAGAGTATCTGGGAGAAGCCTGGAAAATAAAAGTGAAGTTTATTAAATTATTAAATATATTTTTTGGATTATAGATACTTTTTGTCTTTAACTGGGTACACCACTAGATCGATATTTGCATCAGGAGCATTTGTATACAAGGAGGATAAGCAAAACATTAAGGTGTGTAATAGCAGCACATAAGGTGCATTTCACTTCCATTTCTGTGCTAGATCAAGGCATTGGAACAGAACAAAGGAACAATGGAATCTGACTTGTATTGCAAAGCAGAAAGGTCTGCAGTTTTGACTGACAGCAAAACAACATTCCAAACTGCAATTCCAGATGAACAAGTGTTTTTTTTCCACTCAATTATTTTTTTCCACCAATTACAACATATTGTGTTACAGCTTCTTACAAACACAAAGTATGTAATCCCCACTGTATTTGTCAGCTGTATGATGTAGCACATAAGAACACAAAATCCCAAATTGTGTGCTAACTGCACATGCAAAGCTATAAGGGTGGCAGATCGGGCTCGAATGGTATGGAAATGCAACACTGCTCAGAAGGGTCAAATGCTCACAAACACTTCATCCAGATCTTTGTTTACATACTTACTGCAAAGCTGTCCTCGTCTTAGAATTTGCGTATTTCAATTTGACAAAAAACTTTGGCTGTCTTCTTGAAGTCATCATCTGCTGAAACACACTGCTACTTGCTGAAATGAGTGAAAATTTAGATAGACTTTCACCTATTTTCTATTATATTATTCAGTATAAACTCAATTCAACTTGATAAACGACAATACACAGTTCATGTAGTCATTCTCCAGTCCCAAACCCACTACTCAAAATATTAATAAAAGTCGCCAGGCATGTTTCAAAGACATTGCAGGCTGATTTGAGTGGTAAATTAATTGTTCTTATAAATACACATTTCGCATTTAATAATTTCAAAAATGCTTTTTTGAGATTATCGTTAATCAATAAACAAAAGCAATTTGCACTGCTTCTCCGAACTCATGTCACGTAGGATAAAAGTAAAAAAACAATCATTCAAATGTAATTCACAAATTTCATGTCAGATTTTTACCATGGTTAAAAAAAAACATACATCTGTTCCAAAGAAGAGAGAATTAAAGCTGTACCTCTTCTAGCAATAGAGGGATCAACATCAACACCTTTGTCGTATGGTGTACCCCCATTCACTGCAAGCTCATAGGTTCTAAGAGATGTGCAAAAAGAGGAAAGAGCAGAAATATTCATGGTTTTTGGTACTGATGTTTTATGCTAGAAGTAGATGAACAGTGAATTGAAAAAGAAGAATGTTGACCAGTTGAAGACTGCAGTGTGCTTTCATTTACACAAAGAGTTTCACATTTTGTCAATCAGTACATCATCCAGACAGTATATAATGGTCAGTAAGCTGCTCACACCAACACGGAGCGTATCCTGGAAGCACAGTGAGCAAGGTGGGACAAAAACCCTGGACAGGACTCCAGCCTATTGCAGGGAAGCATACAAGAGCACAGAGACTGCTCTGTCCCTGGATGGGAGAGGGCAGCAGAGAAAGTAATCATTTAGAGTAGCTAATCAAACCTCGCTGACACAAGGTTGGGAGGTTGGAAGAAACCTGAGCCCCATTTTCGTCACTAAAAGAACAAGCAAATTCCGTACAGATGGACTGGATTTGAGCTGAGATCCTGGAGGCAGATTGCAACTTTGTCTTAAAACGTGTTTAGTCTAATATTCAGGAAAGACAATCTCCTAGCTGCTTATTTTTCTATTTTGTAACAATCAAGACACCCTTGATCACAATGTGAAACGTTTTACTGTTCTGAAAACTGTGGCTGAAAAGCATCCAGCTAAAATGTATATAATTCAACTTTGGAGTGAAATACGTAAAAAGAGAACGTTTCATGATTAGGAAAATATCAGTTCCTGTCAAAAACAATTAACTTAAAAAACATAATTACTACAGTTTCATTGAGGACTGCCTAGGGGACAATTCATATCTGCAAAACATCTGTTCAAACACTTGAACTTGCACATATTGCTATAAATGTCATTTTTAATTGCTTTTCCCCACATATTTTTTAAGATTAAAAACTATGTCAATGTGTGTGCATTTGGCTGCTCAACACACCACATAGTTTCTCACACGGGAAAATAAATTCAGGTACAGTAGGTTAATAACTACTCTACAAATAGTCAGTGGTAATGTTTGGGAAAACTAAACGTACTGGTTGTCTTTTAAATCATGACCACCACATTATCTTTAAATCCTAGTTTGAAGGTGGAGAAACAGCACAAAAGAAACAGGCTGCTCAAATACCGCTAAAAAGCACAGTCCCCAATGCCTCAAACAAAATTGACCATCTTTACCTTTTGCATGGAATACAACTAGGGCTACACTTTTTTCAGTTTTATTTTTTGTCACGTGATATCCCTTTAAACATGACTTTGGCAGGACAAGGCAAGATGCTATAGATAAATATATCAGCGACTTTTGTGACATCAATTTCTCAAGCACAGTTTAAAGGTGATGGTTAATCCAAGGACTTTTAGACATGCAGTTTACCAATCAATTTGCATATTATTGCTTTTATTTTTGCCTTTTATTGAACTATATATAGAATAGAGATGTTTGTGGTACAAACACACAACTACAATACATTAATTGTGATTAATCACGATGAAACTTTGTAATTCTGGGTAATTATGAAGATTTAATTAGAAATGCAATGGAAGCATGTCACTATCAATAAGATTGCAGAAATCTGACTGACTCACTGAGGTCCTCCACCCTTTGCATTCTTTCAGTATCAATAAAACTGACTGTTAAAAATACACACAACTGCATTTTACAAACACTCAGTCCACAATAACTGCAGCTATGCGCAACCAATAAGGATGTATGCAAACATTGACAATCAAAGCACAAAACTAAGAAACACCTTTTCTTAGCACCATGCCACAGTGAAATTCCCATAATCTTTGAGAGGTCCCTACATTATCAGTCAATCCACAGTAATGATAGAAATGTCTTTAATGTCATTTAGTGTCAGCACTAAACAGATGGTGTGTACAGGATGCTATACAGTATATTTACAGGACGTTAATCCATGTATTCTTCTATAATATCCATGTGCTATATCCAACATAAACAAGATTGTAATCTAGTACCATCAATTATGATAGCTGAATTTTGAATTTGGTTTGAAAAAGAGGATAAAAATTAAGGAACAACAAAAAAATAAACATCAGCTGTCATACACTAATAAATGCAGCACTAGAAAAGATTTCTATTGCTTCTAGGTGGTGACACACAAGAAGCACACGTACTATAGCATTGCAATCAGTGGTAATGAGGAGGAAGGACAGATAGAAGAAAGAAAGATAGAATACAGAATGCAAATGGCATTTTGAATTGGTATGCATACATAATATCTAATATACTGTTCAATGAGTGATTGAAATGAATGTGTAATGAAAATGCAGTTTTGCATCTCACCTGTATGGCACTGGAACTCCACTGGCCTCAAAGAGCTTGAGGAACGCCCAGCCACAGCTCAGCTCTCCTCGTTCACCTGTGGCCTGCAATTAACAGTCATGACAGCTTTAGACACTGGCTTGCTTATCGACATCTCATATCATTTACATTTTTCCTTAATGTCTTATTTCTAATATCCCTAATATCAGGAGCAAAGTGTTGTCTATCCTCTTTAGTTTCTTGTCATTCTGACGTGTGCATATTAATGGTAAAAAGCGTTACTGGAAATATGCACTGGAGTTTAGTATTCTGCTTTCACATGAATTTGAAAAGAAACTTTAAAAATGCTTTAAAATATAACTTACTTAATTTGCTTTCATTTTAATTAAGAATTCAGATACAAAATTCAGGTAAAATGAAAAATTAACCAGTAAGGATATTTTTTCTGCATGTGTTACAAATGCATAGAGGAGTCGGAACAAGACATCAAACAGAAAACATTTATTTTGATAAGGAACTCACAGGAGTTACTTACATTCCGAATGTAGGAAATGCCAAGTTCAAATAAAATTCCCAGTTCAGGAGATTGTGAATTTGATCTCACAAAACAGTCCCCATCCAACAGGCTGGGCAGGATACCTGAAACCTGACATTATCACACAGAGTCAAACATTGTCAAATTATAAACCACACTCATCATGATGAGCTCTTTTTTTTTATTAAACCAGAAACTCTTATATAATACCTCCAAAGATAATCTCAACATATGATAGAAGTACAATTTGATGTACGCTGTGATTATAAGAACATAAGAATGGATCCAAAGGATTTCGTAGTATTAATCTACTATATTCAAACTTGACTAGATTACAGCTATATTGTAACCCAAATCATTGATATAAATAAGAGTAGTGGTTCTAGAACAGATCCCTTTTATATTCCACTAAATACATCACCAAAGTGATGTGAAGTTATAGTTAAAAAAATCTGTAGGTCTTGCTTTTGAAATAATAATTTAAACAGAATGCACAGATACCCTAGGAGAGAAGGTCCATGTTCTGGTATTCTTGTTATTGCAGGATGCTCTAACTGTGTGGATATTACTCAAAACCTGCAAGAAAAAGAACATAGAAATAGCCGTTTTTCTGCTAATGGAATAACTGAAAGTTTAAAACAGCAAAGCTTTTCAGATGTCTGAAAGAAACAAGCAATTTAATGAAGCTCATGCTCCCTCTTGTGGTTGAATGCCATACTAGGAATAAGGAGAATCTCCTGAGATAAAGTGACTAAGATGTGGAATGGTAATAGTTTTTTAACTTTAAACACCTGGTAAAGATGTCTTTATATATATATGTATGTATGTAAAACACTTAGAAATAAAGGGTTAAATTGTTTAAACAAATCAGTTTCATCACCTAAAGGTACATTACTGCAGCTTGTCAATTACACTTCAAACAGTAGCAGGGTGAGACTGGAATCTGCACATTATAACACATCATTTACCATTGGTAGCTTTTAGTATGTGCAGGTGTTGCTTTCTAATCAATACATTTGGTTACTTTGTTTTTGCCACTTTGAAAGTTGCTTCTGTACAGGGCCAGTAACAAACAATGCTGACAATTAATTATATAATTGCTAGAACTGTACCCCTATGAAACAACTGTGCTTGGTGTAGCCAGGATGGATATGTTATCTCTTTGACTGTGTGTGCATCTGTGCCAGGGATGGGACTTCTCAGGAAGAAGCAGAGAGGAATACAAAAGTGTTCCCTCACAGTGAGTCAGATTACAGGAGAATGCCCTTTTGAACTATGATCTCTTCATGTCCTTCAGCATGTGAGCAGACAGAGAAGCTCTGCAGAATGAGGTTCATCAGAGGAGATACATATTTAAATGGAGGAGAAAATTAAAGAAGTAGAGATTTAAAACTACCGCACCTCCTTTAAGGTGCCATAACATTTGTAGGAATATGCCATAAACACTTTTTTTTTTTAGTTTTGTTGCTCCATCTTCAAAATACATTTGAGGAGTTAAACATTTAAATATTCAATTTATAAAATATATTATTTATTCTTGTCTTTCAGGGTGTTCACTCAAACGGCACATTTACCTTGAATAAAAATGGAAGATCAAGCCACCACAGAGGCACCATGTTTTCAAATGCATTAAAAACAAACTAAAAACAGCCGAGTAGTAATTTCTATCCTAACACATGGCACCCACAGTTTAAACATTGGGGTCCGCCAGAATATGTCTAGAGTGAAACAGTTTTAGAAATTAAAGTATGTCAAAGAAGGGAGAACACCTGCCTCATGCAGAATTCATTTACAGAAACTGCTCAGTGCTACCATGCACCAAGATCCTGGTTATAAACACTTTCCTTTATTGTTAACCTGAAATGAGATTCACGGTTTAACATGAACAGTTATGGGCAGAGTGAATTCAACCTGGATTACCATGAGGTGTTATGGACTGTCTTTGGCATTATACAATATGTCAAATACATAATCATTAGGAAAAAGGAGTCCTTACTTCTTTGTAAATAATATATTTTTAATTAGAAGACACAGCAGCAGGCGCTCAAAGGAGGCTGGTAATTTAACAAAGACCAGTAGGCCCTCAGAGTTACTTACTCTGGTGCCATCAAACACACAAAGTCTGACGTGTCTGCTGAGAACCTGAACACCAACTCCAGGAGGAGGAATCATCTTGCAGCTCCACAATGTCAGGGTCAGTGACACTCTGGACACCCTGGGTCGCACCTACACACACACATGTTGTGTACAGGAATACACCAAACAGTAAAATCAGTGCAAACCTATGTCACTATGTTCCATACTTGTTTAATGTGAATAATTTTAATATGTATTTAAAATACATTGTGTCATCATCCCAAGACACAAAAACCGAGGTGTCAGAAGCCAGTTACTAATTTAACAAATATGTAGGGCTCTTTGTTTGCTGTATCTTTAATTATGTGACCTCCATTTGACCTGAATAGAAGCAGTCTTTTTTCAGGTTCTAAACACTAATTCAGCAAGCCTAATTACAAAACAAAATAACTGCTTTTCACTTAACAGAGCAGCTATTGAATATTGTGCCTCATCAGTCTTTTGAGTAGATTTTACAGGTAAAGCTGAACTCTAATATGAGTCCTTTCCCAATTTAACATAGTCTTCGCTGTTTTACAATTACAGATTTATAACTGCCATATGTAAAATGAGACACCTGGAAAACTATTATTTTCCAGAGTAAGGTCGTGTGTAGGCTTTGGACTACAATTACTCTTCATTAAAGTATCACCTACTAGACACTCATTGAATTCTAGTTTTTTATTAAAGGAAGACAGGTTATTGGAAAATGAACATCCCTATATATAATTCATGTAGGGAACTAAAGGACTGCAGAAAAGGGTAGATGCAGACCAATGGAGAGAGATGATCATAATCAAGAATTACACAAATTGCATTTTATCGACTAATTTTATCTGATCTAAAATCCAAACATGTTCTACTGTATCATATTTGCTACAGCATAGCCCCACCCTAATGGTACAAAAACACATTCATTTAATGCCATCCTAACATAAAATATTAAGTGAGGACAGACGACGATGGGGAAGATTAAATTTATGAGAGATGAATCAGATTAAACTCTGTTGAATTTGGCCAGAATTCTGACGTAAACAGACTGTATCTTACAAGAAGATATCACGTGAACTTCAGCGATTTACAGAGTACCCAAGATGTTTAACGTATTGTTTAAAAGTTCATTCTTGTGTGCATTCTGGCTATAGGTGTGGGATTTTCTATCACAAAACAAAAACTTTCAGCTTCTTAGCACTGGTTGTATGTTCCTCACCTAAAATGATTCACAATCCTAATTTCAGAATCTGAAATTCACATTCATCTTTGTAGATGGGATTTGAAAATGTCTCCATGAACTGCCTTAGATTCTATATTGCTTATTCGACAAAGTAAGATCTAATACGCTGGCTCTACTTACACTTCCCTTATCAGGGCTCCATAAAAGGTCTTTAAAAGCCAACTGAGACTGGCTGTATTCAGGCTGAAGGAAGTGACTCGATCGGAACGCTTTCCCTGTCCACAAAACATGTACAGTATTACTCTTTTATCAGTATGCCAGCATACTGTACATCGATGAACACCATGTTATATCACAACAAATGAACAAATGAATCAAGACAGTAATATGATTTTTCCCAAACAAAAAAAACATTTTATTCCTCCAACGTTCTGTTTCCAGTCATATTTATAGATACGACATTATGTTAAGTTTCTTGTGCTGTGTTGTCTTAGATCTTTGTTTGGGTTTTGTTTTGAAGTTTGTTACAGAACAAACATAAACCGTAAAGCATTGACAGTAATGTTGAACATACCTTATGTTTAAATTACCTATTAAACCAAGGCAATCTACACAACAACCATTCCTTCTGGGAGCAGGAGAGATGCATGATTGCATCTGGGGGAGCTCTTAAGATAAATTACCATGTAAGAATGCTATTTGTCCCCATCAGAAAACAAATCATTAAGGATAAGCATAGAAAACATATACTTATTGTTGAAAAAAGACTTTGAGCTTCTTGTGATAGTGTATGGCTTGAATGCTCAATCATTCATGCTATATGCAAATAATACTAATGTATTTATATATGCATGGATCCTTCAACAAGATCTATTACTATTTATTTGAGGATTATTAATGTTTCTAGTCAATCTGAGAATGTACTAACATTACATGATACTCAAAACCTCATGATTTCTGGAAGAGTTTTAAGTCTGAAAATGTTGATGTTTTAACACAAATAGTGTGTACAAATGCATGCACAAAATACAGTACAGCAATTAGGCAACTCATCTAAGAACATCAGTTCTTACCTTCTTCCAAGAGCTTAGACAGCGTTGAGGGCCTAAACCCAGCTGGAATGGCTCCCATGGCAGACAGTACATCAGATGCACTGATCTGCAATTCATACCATACACTGAAGATGAACTTGTGTTATGCTGCATCCAAAAAGAGTATGCCACTTCTTAAGCACCATATGTATGTATACTGGCTAAGCCAAAAAGGAATGTATATTAGTATTTAAGTGGATAGAAAGACATTATACATTTATGACAATCTGGATACAAAAGACACTGTCCGCATGACACCCTGCTCTTCATCTGCTTTACTCACATAAGGCATACGTACCTCTGTGACTGCTTTTCTTACAGCATCCCAGTTGGACTTTGTACCACTACAAAAGAGCAAGGTGATGTTTTCACATTTACCTTTAGTACTCCAAAATAACATGATGAGACACTCAGGAGCCATCCCTGACATTCCATTCTTAAGAGTAAAGTAAGATTCAAACATTAACAGATCATGACTTTCTGTTAACTTTAAACGATCTTAGACAGTAATGAGACCAGATTTATTTTTTTAAATAACTACAATAAAAAATGAACCAGTTTGCACCAACAGAAAATAGAGCACCTGAGTGTCTTATTCATAATCTGCCATTACTTTTGCTTACTCATTTCTTTTCCCATCCCTATCTACTCTAATTGAAAAGGCTAAATGTGATTAAAAGAAATGAAGTGAGAAGGTAGACATGGGCTTCAGAGTAACAGGTACCGCTAATTTAATTACCCATCAGGCACTTGAGTAACATTAGAAAGGTGAATGTCACCAAAGTAGCTCTTAAGCAAAGTAAGGGTCTACAACCTATATTCAGTACAAAAAATGCTGCATTGCTTGGAAACTACCCATCCAAATGCAATGTTTTCATATTTGTGTATCTTACATTGATTTACAAATGTAATCTATTTAAAGTCTGATAATAGATTTGTATTCCTTATGGTGATTTCCAATAGTGGCATATTAAACATTACCTGTGCTTTCTTTGTTCTTTCTGTTTGTCTGTCTTTGCCCTTTGTTTCACTTCATCTGTCTCCTCTTCAGAGTCTTCCTCAGTCTCCGTTTCTTCCTCTTCATCATTACAATTCTGAAATTATTCAACCACAACTTTATAGCCATACGTGATATGCTTTAGCCTTAATCGTTATATTCAATTGCAAACCGGTATGGCAAAAAATAAGCAAGGGGACACCCAGCAATGTCTCCCACAAATCACAAGTCCCCGGTATAATATCACACATTGTCCTTTTCCAGACAATACGGTGATTTATTTAGATGTGGGTTGTGAACATATGTTGTGATATTAGGTGCAGTTTAAACGAGTGTTGTGAATAGAATGGACCCACACTGCCATGGGATGACCAGAGAAGACGGTCAGATGGTCAAACAACACCAACCCGCAAGTATGTTTTTGGAACCACCCCCTTGTTTCCTTTGGAGTCTTGAGCCAACCACCAGCCATCAGGATTTTTTGAGAGCACTCTCAGGATTTCACCTTTCTTTAGGGGGGAAAAAAGGAAGATAACCATGACAACTGGGTGGAAAACAACTACTTTGTAAGAAACATTATTGAAGCCACGCGCATAAACAAATCTGGCCCAAGAGATGAAAATCTGCCCTCTTTTTCTGTCTTTTAAGGTCCGGAACATTTGGCTTGTAACTTTTTTAGTCACCACATATGTTTATGATGTCTCCACCTTGCAGGTTGCTTCTAATCGCTTATAATTTTGATAAATCCAAGTCTAATTGTATTTTGCTTTGCTTTCACTAATTTGTTGCATGCTCCACTTTCAACAAATAGTTCTTACTTTTTATCCAAGACTCATCAAAAGCAGATTTCAAGAGCTTAGTTCTTCCATAGAATGTGAAAGACAATTATATCAGTGATATGATTGACAACTAGGCTTTATTTTTCATGCATTGATTTACAAAGCTTTCATCACAATTTTAATTTAAAATGCATTATATAATGTCAAAGTAAAGGGTTTTAGTTTTATTTGCAATACTTTTGGTCCACCAACAGATTGATATTTTCATTTACCTTTATTGTCAGATCCCCTTCTTGTTGAGAATTGAAGTCACAGACAGCAATGAAGTTATTAACAGAAGGGCCCACTTCATCTTCCTCTTCACTTTCCTCTTCATCGTCCTCCTCTTCACTTTCCTCTTCATTGTCCTCCTCCTCCTCCTCATCTTCTACTTTGGATGTACTTGCTTTTTCTATCCGTGCACTGATTGACAAAAAGAAAGCAGAACACTTTATGGAATGAAGAGCAACCTGGGTAGAAATTCGACCTTCTCACCTTAGAAGTTGCTGTAGCCTCCTATGAATTGTACTTTCCTCTAACTGAAACCCAGTAATTATTATAATCACAATTATTCTATTTCATTTCTATGTCTTATATATATATATATCTGCTCTTGCTAGGCTGTAATAGCAAATGTATATGGATCTCTGTAACATCACTCAGCACACATACAAATCACTTGCTTTTCATGTCAATCCAGTAGGTAATATGGAGTGTTCAAAAGCTCATCTGAAACAGCTAATTTTAATCAATTTTTATACCATTGCATTAGAAGTATAGCTTATCAACAGAATAATGAAGCACTATTTTTTCCCCTTATTACTTCCAAGAGATTAACAAAAACTATCAAAAATCATCTATCTCACGAAAGATATGCATTTTTCACCTTAGTTGCATGACATCCCACTTAAAAAAAACTCACTTGACAACTTGCTTATTTGCAGTATCAGGGACCAACCGTTCTGCCAGCATCTGGAGCTGATGCTGTAAATTCAGTAATCTCATGTCTTCCTCCCGTTTCCTTTGGTCATAAGTCCCTACTGGTACAGGTTCATCCGCCTTTGTAAAACACAGACCATGAAATCCTAAAGACTTAGCCAGGAACAACCATGAGGTTTTCCACTACTGTTTCATAGCCATTTAGTTCTATTTCATCTTCCCCAAACAGAAGAGCATGGTTATGGTTGTGAAGAGCAGAAAACACATTAACAAGATTCAAAATAATAAATTACTTTAACAATGCAATATGTTTTGAGAACAGTCCATTTCAAACATTTTAATCCTTATTTTGATTAATTTGGCTAAACCATTATTCAGTATTTGATCATTTTAGTGTGTTCATTACTCCATTTACTGCATCAAAACTCCTTAAGGTATCTGTCTGATATTGTACCATTACCCGAGAGAAGAGACAGCCAATCTAAGCCTTTACCTTGTTTAATGCCCTTAAAGTCTTCAGAGTTTCTTCAACAGATTTTTGTAACTTAATGCATCTGTTGAACAAAAAAGTGACAATGGCCACACATATCATTTTCTTTTTAAGAAGATTTAATATTATGAAAACACATCTCTTGAAAAAAATCAATCAATTCCCTTTAAATACTAAGGACTTGTATGATGACACGACAGCTAAGGTGGAAAAGAAAAAGGAGAATTTCAGAATTTCCTGGGTAGTATCCTGATTCCATGCATCCGATGGTGTAAACAATTTCGCCGTTGTTCTTTTGCAATTTAACTTTAAACCTGAAACAACCCGAAAAGGGAAACAACTGTGTGCCTGACAACAGGTGAAACATGTTTCCTTCCCTTGTGAGCTTCATGGTAATACGTTTTTTTTATTCTTTTGACAATTTGTTGGTGAAACACTTAATTAAAATGACTGTCTAAAAAGTATTACATTTTTTCAACAGAATCGCAGAACGCA